AACTCCCAGCCCTATCCCTCTTTGGTGCCATTGATAGCCTTTTTGGAGCTTGAAATTCGGACTTGGTGTTTTTGGGGTAGGGTTTCGGATTTTTGGGGAGGGAGAGAGATGGTGGAATTTGTGGGTATGATGTGGAGAGGAGAGTGAGAGGAGTGTTTTAATGGTGGTTTGAGGGAATTTGGTTGAGTGATGATGGAGATATGGAAGGAAGAAGGTCCAAAAATGGTGGGTTTGGGAGAGAGAAATCGGAAATTGGGGTTTGGGGAAGAAGTGGCTTGAATTGGGTCTGGTTTGGGGTAAAAAGCTCGAGTACCCGATCGGGTAGTCTCTTGTTTCCTCTTGTTCCGGGATTGGTCCCGATCGAGTTGGGTAGTACTCGATCGGGTAAAATGCGCCGTGGGAAAATTCATTATTCAAGATTGAATCACCCGATCGGGTGCCTTGAATACCCGATCGAGTCTTTGCCATTTTTTTTTTCAAAATTGCTCCAGAGGGTTGTGCCCGATCGAGTTTTGTGGGTACTCGATCGGGTGAATCGCGCCGTGGCAAATGATTTTATTTTCATGAAACAGACCCGACCGGGTCATTGGTGTACCCGATCGGGGACGGACCTTGTTTCCAATGCAAGCGCGATCGGGTAGGGGGTTTTGTTCCCCATCCATGTCGTTTTCATCTGTACCCGATCGGGTAGAGTAGAGGGACCCGATCGGGTACACTGTCATGGGGCGTGATTTTGAGCATTTTTATTATCTTTTTGGCATGGATCCGATCGGGTAAGTGATTATGGCCGATCAGAGGTTTCCCCAATTTTTCAAAAAAAATGATTTCCTCCCCCTTTTATTTGAGAAGTGTCCCAATTTTCTCAAAGTTGACATTCAAAAACAAAATTTGAACAGAAAAGATGAAAAATGCGTACCTTAGCATGGGTTGCCTCCCAAGAAGCGCCTCATTTAACGTCGCGGCACGACACCATCATTGTGTTCAGTCGTTCAGGCTTGGATCGTGATAATTTACCTTCTTAAGATTTTCATTCCTAGGACTTTCATAGAAATGCTCAATTTTCTGACCCTTCACTTTAAAAATCTTTCCATGGTCAAATACCCAGATTTTCATTGATTGATGTGGTGAGAGTGAGAGAAAGAAATTATCATTTAACATGGTCAATGGATGTTTACATCCCTCAATTCCGCTGAGAATTTCAAAAATGTCACTCTCCTTTTCAATTTTATGAGTTTCCCTCAAAGTTTTTAGATCTGATGGGGGTACCTCAAAGAATGATAAGGATAGATATTTGACCTTGAAACTCGGTTCATCCTCTTGTTTGACCAGCTGGAGCTCCGTGTCTTTTTCTTCTTCTAATTCTTCTGGATTCTGGATCTCCTTTTGCATTTCCTTTTCATCTGTCAATGTGATTGCAAAAGTTTGCTGTTTAGGATCACATTCTATTTGAGAAGGAAGTTTTTCCGAATCCCTTGCTTCAAGCCTACTCACGGCTCCAGCTATTTGACTCATTTGAGTTTCCAAGTTTAAAATGCTAGACTTGGTCTCATTTTGGAATTGAACCATGTTGTTTTGCATGGTGGTCATGTTGGTAGCAATAGCCCGGACCATATCCTCCGTAGACATGTTAGTGTTGGAGAACGGATCATACCTCATGTGAGGTACATTCCTTTCGTAACCAACATCATCAATTTGTTCAAGGTATTCATCTTGGAGCTTTGGGCAGAAATCCGTAAGATGCCTGTGAGACATGCAAATGTTGCATGTCTTGGCATCTTGAGCTTTTGAGCTTAAGGTAAATTCCTTTATTAGAGAAGTCAAGAAGGAAATTTGACTCTCTAAGGATGAAGTGTTGGTATCCATATACTCATAACTCATGTAAGCTCAGAAAATAGAATAGTAAGATTTTATATATATACGAAATATATATATATATATATATAGTTTATTTTTTATTTTTTTGAGATAAAATAAAAAGAAAAATAATTGTCTTTCCCTGGCAACGACGCCAAATTTGACGTGCACTTAGTCGTGTATGCACTCAAAATAATAATCAATACGACACTAATACGTAGTATAGTGTAGTAAGGTTCGTATCCACAGGGAAAGGAACACTTTTTCTTTTTATAAAACTAGAAATAAGTAACAAGGGGGGGGGTTTGATTGGTTGATGAACTTAAATTATATTTAAGCACGAAGATGAACGACTTATGTGGTTTAATTAATGAGAAGGAGACTTGGTTTTGCTTTTATCCACTTAATGAAATGTTCGTCGATCCCGGTTATATTTTTAACTCTCTTCCTCTCGAATACTCAATCGAGGAGTATATCCAATTCATCGAGGGTAGTTATTAATAACGAGACACGTTCATTAATAAAACTTACTACCGGGCCAATATAGAACACGCGCCGTATATTCGCTCAATAGTAGCAATAAAATCAAGATGAAAACGATTGAGATTGATAACCTCAACACAAGCGGTTTATCGGTTTAATCAATATAATTAATTCCCCTTCGGTTATTAACCATGAGACGCATGCATTAACAACCCAAGTTTACTACCGTGAAAGGCCGAATTAATAACAAGCGTATTAATCGACCGATTCTAGTATTAATTAATATATGAAACAAAACTAGTTGATCCTTTAAGTAATGCCCAAAATATTAATATGAAATAGGAATAGGAATTAATTAATATTCAAGGAAGAAGAATAAAGAAAATAACTCGCAACTTACAATTCATTAAGCTTCGAAGTAGCAAAACCAAGATGGAAGAGTTTAGCTCCTCATTTGGAGACTAAACCTGAAGAAAATATAAAGAAATAACTTGTCTAAACTGAGCTTAGAAGTATATAGGAATTGGTGATTTTATTGGGAAGGAAAGGGGTGTATTTATAGGCTTTTGGGAGCTGCAGGGTCTGATACCCGACCGGGTATATAGGATACCCGACCGGGTATCTTAGGAAATTGCCCAGAAAGTCAATTTTCTGGGCATACCCGATCGGGTAAGCGTATATACCCGATCGGGTATGTGACAATCTTTATGAAAATTTGCTCCCACGATCATTTGTCTTCGGAATTGATTTGGACAGTCGAATCAAGCGATTACCCGATCGGGTATAGGCAATACCCGACCGGGTACATGAGTATTTCTTCCAAATCGAAATCTTTCTTGCCTCGCACTTTCCTGGATCTTTTAAGGTCCAATCTTGATCCCTTGGATGATCTTTGCCCTGTTTAGCTCAGAAAAATCCTAATCTAACTAAATTACAAATAAAAATGAAAATAAAGTATTACACCAAAAGTGTGTAATTTCCACAACTAGAACTAAAAGAAACTAGTTAAAAATACAAACATACAATCGGAAATTACATGAATATTACGCACCTCCCGGTATTTTCCTATTAATTATTTTGGAGACTTTTGAAAATTGGAATTAATTTTTCTAACGGATTTAGACGTCATGCCCCAGCGGTGATAACGGGAATTGAAACACATGTCCCACTCTGTTAAAAAATGAAACACGTGCCCCTCTATGAAAACAGTCCAAACCACATTTCTGTATGTTTCCCTATTTATATTCCACCTCTTATTCTTCTTCCATCTTGAAAGCTCATGCCCTTCAACTAATCGTGTTGTATGTACACACCTATTTATATTGATCCATTAATTATTTTATCCTCAAAGAGTATAATTGAAATAGTTTTAAAAAAAATCTCTCATTGTCCACCTTTTCTTTAGATTGGTAATATTTTTTAATTTGCTTTAAATTTTAATACTTTCATATGTTTTTTTTTATATTTTACCATGTTTTCTTAATTAAAATCTTTAATATAACAGACCTTTATACTCCAGTTTTAAAAGTTTCCTACACTTTCTTTTTTGGATTGTATTTAAAAGTTTTTTACATTTCCATTTTTGGTAAGTTTATACTCTTTATAAAATACGGAGTAGTAAACTACTCTTATTTTATCCAGTTTTTTATTTTCTCTTTCATACTTTTACACACACTCCTCTACTTTTTCTACACTATTCACTCCTACTACTTTACTTCTTAAATAATGTGTCCAATCTAATGTAGTGAACATTAAAATATGGAGAACATCAATGGAAATTATTTTTTTGATGTTATTTCTATTCAACTCGTTTAAAATGCAATGGCTCTCCGCAAAATTAAGAAGTAATCTTTTGAATCTCCACCACTTCCATCCCAGTTTGTTCTAATTTTTTTTATGAGGAAGCGGTCCAGTCCAGCTGGTCGCTCACTCACTCTCCTTTACGGGAGGTCCCGGCTATAATTCTCAATGGAGTGATATTGATTCCGGTTTACCCCAGGTCCCCAAACCCCCTCTGACACCAAAAATGGGGTAAAAAATTTTAAAAAGAATGGAGAACATATTTATTGGGGGTTTAATGCACCAAACCCCCTATGATATGGAAATTTGGCTCATTAACCCTTTGTGATTTAAAAAATGTGTCAAACCCCCTTATGTTTTAATTAATTATGCGCAAAATCTCTTTTATGAACAAATTCAATTGTCAAATAAAAGAAAAATGGTTAACATTTTCGTATGATTTAGAGATATTGACATATTTACTTGCATATTCAATCAGAATATTAGGAAAAGTGATTTTCAAATCGTTAAATTTATTCAAAAAAGGGTTTCGATGCATGATTAATGAAAGACAAAAGGAACAAGAAGTTTTTGCCGCCCGATATTGATGAAATCGTCTCAAAATCATCCAGTCCCTTTATTCTGCCACCCACCAAGAAGGAACTTTATATGCTCCTTTCTCATTCCCACATTCCCCTTGATGGAGGCAAATTGGCACGTGCACTTTCCAAATTCTGCTTATATACCCATACGTGAACTTTTTGTCTTTCTATTGATTTTCACTGATTCTATTTGAAATCTTGAAAACAGGGTTTTTTTCTGGATAAAAGAACTGGAAAGAAATGTTTCAGAATTGCGTCCTCGGAACTTGTTTTCAGCGAGAGGGATGACTCAGATGGCATGTATATGGAACAAGAGTTAATCTGCTCCAGGTTATTCACTACGTACACAAGTTCTTTAGCTTTAACAATGACTTGTTATTCAATGTTTTGCTTCTACTTATATACTCTTTTTAAATAAACTATTTTTAATATTGGTTAAAAGGCGGCGTGGTGTCGCTGTAGTGAAGACAATGGACGGTCGCAAATTTGACATTTTTGGGAGAATCAGCAGCGAAAAGCTATCTAAAGAAACACACTACTCAACTTATTTGGTGCACAGACTATCACCGAAGCATGGCCACTGCGACCTCTCATTCAAGGGAGTGTGTAGATTTGTAGACAATGAGGGTAGAGATGAGGCTGAAAGTAGAGTTTGGCCTTATTATGTCCCGTCTACTGTTTCTAGAGATGACGGGTGGTTGGAGACGAAAATTGGGAGCTTTTTCAATGTTGGAGGGAACCTTGGTGATGTTGAACCTTGTTTGTTTAGTGTTATGCTTCAGTGTCACCGATTCCTCAGTGTGCTAGGGCTTGAATTTCGGGCCGGAACTACTTCTGGAGGTATGGCGGATTGGGGATTTTGTGAAGAATTCTTGGAAGAAAAAGCCAAATTCTAGGCAGTGATCATAACATTATCTAGCTAGTGATGTGAAGCAAAACAAAAAACAACTTTTTCTTGTGGAAATACATATAGACTACTACGTATATCACATTGGTAACTTACAGGAAATTGCATGTAATACTCCTTACATCCCATAAAAGCAAAAGAATTGATATTTGGGTGAAAATGCGTAAGTACTTCTGAATGCTCCAAAATGCTTCTAGAAGTAGTTATCGAGAAGCTAAGGTAGACCGGCTTCTGGAAAGTTGAGTTTGATTATACTTTTGCTTTCAAAAAAGAAGCAAAAGCGGAATTAACTCCAACCACCCCTTGCTAGTTGCTAGAATGCAAAGAATGAACTAAAATTATAAGAGCATCTCCAATGGCAAGTTATTTAGTTTGTAGCTTCACTAGTCATGCCACTTATTTCGGGCTAACCCATCTTCTAGGAATATGACATTGTTAGCTACTTAGCTCTAATGCTTGCCTCGTAATTTTAAACCCCACAAATCAATCAACTATGAAATTACACAATTTTAGTGAAGTCATTTTCTAATAATTTTTTTTTTTTTTTGCCCGGAGTAAACCACACGTGGTGGCGGGAGTGCCGGGGAACACTACCCAAATTTATTAATAAAAGTGAAAGTTGAGGTTACAAGATAAAAACGTACAAACGAGAGCAATAGTAAAAAATTGCAGAAATTTAACAGTTGAAGTTCTTAAAGGGGATCCCGACGGTAGATGAAATGGATCTGTTATATCTGTTATGAAATTGAATTGCCTTTCGGAGATAGTGTTGATAGGTCTTTGCTTCCGGGCGTGAAGACTTGTAACGTTGGAGGGCCGCAGCAAGCTTTTGTGGTGAATCCAAGCTCGCATCAACTGGGTAAATGTAATAGTCGTCTTCATGTTGAGGATATCTGGACTGACTTCTTGTGATCATGGGGTGTGATGAATAGCCCACCTCGTAAAAGAGTTGCGCACCTTCAAGGGTTCTGTTAGGCTTCATGCAATTGCTTTTATTTTTCCTTGTCATCACCTGTGTAAAGCCATCGTGTTCCTCATCTGGTGGATGACCTGAAAGAGCAAGATTAGTAATAGGGGTGTCCTCAGATAACGTATCATCACCGGACAAGGGAGGATCAAGTGTAGTACAATCCATATCATTTTCATAAGAAGGATCAGAACTTGGTTCTTCATTTCCAACTTTCTGCTCAGTTTCATTATCGCAGACAAACAACGAGGGCGCATCACACTCAACATGTGTTATGTGTAGCTGGTGTTTCAACAGAAATAGCCTCAATAAAATCAATATCTACAGGCAAAATATCAACCGGGGCATCAACGGCATAGCTAGTAATAATTTCTGTTCCAGGGGCCATGCAAACATTTCCGGCATTGAAACCAGAAGCGTACCCAACCTCAACAAGAACAGAAACATCCGGGGCATCAAACGCAACAGGCATAGTATCAATAGCTGCATCAAAATCAGAACAGGCAACAACTGTTTTCTCCTTATTTAAGGCTTCAACAGGGCCTGAGTTATACAAATCAACCACTAGAGGTAGTTTAACTGGGGCAATATCACTTGGGGCAGAAGTGTCAACAAGAACTGCCTTTGTATGAGAAACAGTAACTAAAGGAGGGCATTTAGAATGGCCAAATCGAGAACAGTTGCAGCAGAACATAGGCAAATTTTCATAAAGAACAGACTGATAAAAGCCGGAATCACCATTGTTAATCCAGATATTAGATGGGAGAGGTTTCGAAATGTCTATTTCAATACAAATTCTAGCAGTCGATGGCCTAGAAAAGGTAGCAGTAGGCTCATCAATTCTAATCGGTCTCCCCAGCAGGCTTGCAATGCAAGAAAGAGCTCGCAGATCATGAAGGTGAATAGGAAGTCCGTCTAGCTTGACCCAGACAGGAGCAAAAGGGGAGTCACGGTCACCGGAGAAGGACGGAGTCCATCTGGTGACTCGCATCTTAAATCCAAAGAAATCCCAAATCGATTTAACCCAAAATCTTTGGAAATCAATATCTGATTTGAAATTTATCAAAATAATGTGAGGTTGGAGAAGGCCGATGGTGTAGGGTTCGGAAAACCCTAATGCCTCAAAGGCCTTGCGAATCGAAGAGATTGGTGGTCGGCCTTTAGGAAAGGTGCCAACAAGGGCGTAGCGGAAAATAGAGGAGTAAACCTGGACATCGTCATTTTCTAATAATATAAAAATAATAAAATTGTTTGGGAATACCTTTAAATTGGGAAATGGGAAATGTCATTAATATTTTTAAGCTCATAAGAAATTAGTGTTATTATTATTCGAATTGAAATAATGTGAAAAGGCAAATTTTTAAAATAACTACAAAAAATATGTATTTTGTGCATGCACTTGTGATTGGAACCCATAAGTAATTAGTGTTGTTATTATTCGAACAGAGATAATATGAAAAATCATATTTTTAAAATAACTACAAAAAAATATGTATTTTGTTACATTTTTTTATCATATGTATTTTGTTACATTAAAAACATTAGGAATAGGAAATATTATTAACTTATAGGAACAAAATACAATAAAATTTAATTATTTGATGTAAAAATTAGGATTATTAGCTAAATGCATCCCCAAATATCATCAAATTTAACAATTTATCCTATACTTTCACTTTTATTTAAAAAAGACTCAAATTTTAATTTTTCTCACAGTTACACTTTTAATGGATGAATTAGTAAAACTTATGAAGAAAATCATATATTTCATTTTTTTCACTTCTTTGTAGAAAAAAATCATATCTTATAGGTATTCATAAAAATATGTTATTTTGAAAAAAGAAAAAAGAAAAGCATAATTGTTGAAAAAGATGAAGTTTGAACTTTTTTTATGGAATCAAATAATAAGATAGATTTGTGAATTTGACAATAATTTGGAATAAAATAAGCTCATAATCCTAAAAATTATACATTGCTTGAATTTAACAAAACTATGACATTATAAAGGAACAATCACATATTTGTGATTAAATCAAAGATCGTTTATAAATACTTCCTCCGTTCTTTTTTAGTTGCAACGGTCAACATTTCAAACTTGCCAACGCATGTCTTTGACCGTAATTATATCTTAATCTCTATTAGTAAAAAATATTTAATAATTAGATTTTGAAAATTTGTAATGAGATGAATTGAACAATATTCTTTTAAAAAATTAATTTTCATAAAATAATAATATAAAATGTAATCAAAGTAGAACATGTGAATAGTGTAAAATTCAACATGTTGCGATTAAAAAGAGACGGAGGATAGTATGTAACAACTGAAGTGTGGTGACTATGATAATAACTTTAAAGGAAGAATAATTATAATATCCCAAACTTTGAAAGGGAGTGAGATAAACGCAAATGTATGGAGTTAATTGCGTCATTTAAAATAATTTAACATTCGTAAAGACACAACTAACATTCTTAACATTCATTGTGAAATAAATAATATTACCCCAGTCTATGTAATGATAACACATTTTTGAAAGAAAAAATACATAATCATGGTGATTAAATAACTTTTATACAAATTTGGAATATTTCAATTACATATGGAAGTTTGGGGTGTTTACTTCACCCCCCTCGACTCTTCAAAATTTGGGAAATTTTAATTATTTTCCCTAACTTTAATCACAATAAATATAACACTATTTTCTATACATTGGCAATGGGTAACAATAACACAATACTATCATAACTTTTAATCATATTTTTTTGAATTTTTTATTTCAAAAATAGTTTTAAAAGAATTCTTAAACGCAACAAATCTATTTATTACTGAATTACATATAATCTATTCAAACTTTCCTCCCCAAAGCGTTGCCCACTAATTTTTTTTTGGAAGAAGTTGCCCACTAAATTAGAAAATATGAATTCATAGTACGTAGTATGTTTTATGGATTTGATAAAAATATCCGCTACCATGCCTATCAAGTTGCAAAATAAATTTATATCTAACCATTAAGATGACTAAGCCACTAATAACCGACTTGGCAAGTCAAGTTGCAAAATAAATACGAAGAAGCATATCGTTATATTGGAGATGCTTATACTCAAATCATTAAGATGACTAAGCCACTAATGAATTATTTTCTACATTAACTAATTATAGTACCTTTCCATTTCAATAGATTTTGTAAACTTTCATTTTACATTATTTGTAAACTAATCATTATTTACATGTTAAAACTTTCGTTTTAAAACAAATCATTTTAATTTTCTTTTAAAATAATGAATTTGTAATTAAACATATTTGTTTCTAATCTGCAAAAACTATTTTACATTCATATTTTACTTACCTAGTTAAGAATAGATCTTCAATGAGACGGATTATGGATGAATTGCGAAGTAGTACGTAATATTTTAAGATAATTATTTTACAGAACTACCAAATGAGTCTTACAGAGAGGAAGTTAAAACTAACTTACAACTATTAAGTAGTGATCCAAGAGATAGTGATAATCATAATATTGTTCAAATAACAACTGGCAATAAACATAAAATCCATTCAAAATCTGACGAGCAACACTCTAGTCTTTGTTTTTGGTGTAAAGGAAAATGGCATGAAATGAAGCTTAAAATATAGTTCATATCCTTGGATGTCAAGGGCATGTTATTAGCTTCAGTCCAAATGTAATTCGTTGAGTAGCTCATCCAGGTCATCCATCATCCCTGGAGGGAATTTACCAAGTTTGAATTTCCTTAATATTGATGTGAATAAATCAGGAAAACAGCTGCTATAATCTTTTCTCAGAACATCACGAGGCCGAAACTCGACGCCTTGAACGATCATAAACTCATAATCCCAACCAACACCAACAGACGCTCGTATATCCTCATCGTCGTCATTTGCTCCGTTGTTGTAGAAGGATTTAATTTCTATTTCCTCCCACCCGTCCTTTCCAACCCTTTTGTTATGTCCAATTATAGGGACATCGTTAAGGGCGTTAATGGTTGAATCACTATATTCAATATCCCCAGAGTGATATTCATCTTCTTCTTTGTACATCAAATAACATGAATAATGTGTTTCCTTGGATAACAACATTTGATTTGGCATTTTGAAGCAAATGTCAAACACACCAAAATTCAATATGAGCTCAGCTACTTCCTTGAACCTATGGACACGACAATATACACACACATAAAGTGAGAGAGCGAATATTTACTAATTAAATACAAATGTCTTGGAAATTTTAAAACTCTAATTAAACCTAGTAAAATTTCTACAACTCTGTCTAAAACTGATAAATTTGGTCGAATGTAAAGAATTATGAAAAATAGTACTACAAATACTCCATTTCTTTTAATAATACGGAGTAAAAAAAAGTGTAAAAAGGAAGCTACAATAGCCTTTTTTTAGCAAATTCAACTTCAGGGTACTTTCAAATTTACATATTTTGATTATTATCCATGGCTGTTTCCATAACCTTAAAAGAATTAGACCAAAACCTACTCGTATAATCCTATTTAGGAACAGCTGAGATCAGACCTGATAAAAAACGAGTACGTGTTCCAATCATGATTGGCTGAGTAAGTTTGCAATTAAACCCGATCAATATGAATCTCATTCTGATTCAGAATTGGGATAGTGGCAAGCCAAGACGCCAAGTACAAAAAGGCTTTTATGTATGTACTTGAGACGATTTCATTAGTCATATTGGGCATTTACTTAGTCATGCAATGGTGTGTATAAACTAGTAGTATTAATAAGCTAAGAGAAAATCAACCATCGATGAAATGTATCTATGTTGGAATTGCATGCAAACATGGAAAAATGGGACAATACACACAAAAAACCAATTTTAGTAATAATAAGGTTTGAGGAGTTTGAGAAATTACTGTTTCTAAGATGCATACTCAAAATTGAAATAAAACATAAACAAATTTCTAAAATAGGATTAAGTGGTTTAATCCATCAATCCCCCTGTGATTTATAAATTCGATGCATTAGCCTCCTCTAATTTAAAAGCGCACCAAACACAAGTGTGTTATAATTCGACACAATAACAAATTTAGAGGCCGTTTGGTAACACTGTTTCTCGGCTTATGTAAGTCTTAATTGTTTTGTTTTGAATGAAATCAACTTAATTAGCATTAATCAAATAAAAGGTCAAAGCCTCAACAATACAAGTAATGAAGTAGGTGGAATACCCAACCAACTTTTTCATCAAACACGTAACTTTTGTTTCCGTGTGCTGAATTGTGTAACAATAAGAAAAAGTAAGGTTGAAGTTACTGTAGATGACCATTTTAGCTATTTTTACATATACTCTATAACTTTATCTTTACTTTTTAATAAAATATATTTTAATAATATTTTTGCTTAAGTAGGAAGAATATGTAGTCATTTCAGACAGAACTTCATTAATTTCAATTGAATCAGCCGGATCAGCCGATTCTCGTGTTATCAAACGGGCTCTTAATTTCCAATTAAATCAATATAATTAGTATAATTTTTATAATTTAGCGACCTTGACAAATTTACTTGCATATTCACTCATAATATTAAGATGAGGTACTTCCATATAATTTTCTTAATAGATTGTTCCTTGGGAAAGGAGTAGTTTTGCATATGAATAACATAACACAAAAAATATTATAGCGCAAAAGAGTTTGACACATTTTTTAAATCACAAGAAAACCCTCTTATATTATACTCCCTCCATCCCAATATAAAAGACACATTTGCGTTTTCACACATTTTTAGGGTGAACACTGTTTGAACACTGTTTGTCACTGTTTGACACTGTTTTGCACTGTTTTGTTTGTCAAAAAGAGAAATGTGTCTTTTATATTGGGACGGCTTGAAAAGAGAAGTGTGCCTTTTATATTGGGACGGAAGGAGTAAGTACGTATATCACAAGGGGGTTTTAGTGCATAAAACCTATATTTCCTCTGTTTAGTCAAATTTTGGGAAGAAAATCGAGTCTAATTTGCTAGCATTTGCCTGCAGGTAATAAACCTGGCGCTTGGGTCGGGTCTGCTTATCGGGTACTCGGCCCTAACATTGGTCCCAAAGAAAGCAAGCTCGGCGGGCGCAATCATAACGCATTTCTGGCCAGAACACTTGTCCAGATAAAACATCTGTTTTCAAGTTTTAATATGAGGTAATTAAAATAAATTTAATTAAAAGATCCAAAACCAGATGTAAAAATGCAGAAACAGAAATAATTCCACCTGTTTGCCTGCATCAAGGGCAATCGGGTTATCGGAGAGGCTGAGAAATAGATGCTTCTTGGACGGCGGCGGTAACTCAAAGGGCAATGGAGTCGATGATTTGGAAATGATGTCGTCGATATCCGACGGCACAAATTTGTTCCAAGCAATATTGGAGTCGGATGCTGATTTGAAACGCTTAGAAATGGTAGAAGAAGCGGATACATCCGCCGGCGAAGTTAAGGAAAGAATTTCAGAGATACATTCCTCTGGCAATTTTGAAAAGTTGTCCATTTTCTCGCTTTGATTTAAGTAATCAGCGAAGGGGCACACGTTTTAGTTTAGAAGACTTACGAACTGTTTATATTCAAGCAAAAAAGACTTAAAATTCCTCAATCTTCTTTAGTTCCTCAATGTTCGAGTCAAAATCCTCTCTGGTATAAGCTTGTGTTGCTCCAAAATAACTGTCTTTCATTTTTTTCTTTTGAACTTTGTCTTGATATTGTTAAACAAATGGTAAATGCATACCCCATGTCCAAATCCGGAATACCTTTCTATCACACGTTTAGCAATGCTCTCATGCCTAGCAAAAATAACCACCATTCCATTCCTATAACCAAAAGCTTCTCTAATATTTAAGAAAAATCATTTAATTTCCAAGATTCATCATTTTCAAAATCAACAACACAAAATGCAAGTGGAAATAATTTCCCACGTGCATCTTGTGTTGATGATGTTAATAGTGTGCCCCCATATCTCCCGGTCAGGAACGTGCTATGAACTACTATAGTGGTTGCATTAGTTTTGAGTGTTTATATTTTTACTTTTAATTAGTTTTTACGGTGTGTTGTTGTGGTAATTGCAAATTTACGGTGCAATCATTTTATTTTTCTAGTTTTTTGTAATTTAGTAAATTTAAAATCATTCTGAGCAAGAATCAATCAACAATCAACAAAGGATCATGGGAGAGATCTTACAAGTTCAAAGAAAGGTACAAGGGAGCAAGAAATCATGCAAAAAATGTGATTTGGTGTCATACCCGGTCGGGTATGACTTGACCCGGAGATTTACAAGATCAAATAAAGCAAGAGAACGTGTGAAAATCAGATTTGGTCAAATACCCGGTCGGATATTCTACCAAACCTCACCAAAATACCTATAAATACACCCTATTTGCTTCTCATTTTGATATTCCTTCTTCCATATACTTAAGCTCAACTTAGAATAGTGTTTTATTTATATTTTTCTAGCATTGTTTAGTCTCCAAATGAGGAGCTAAACTCACATTTCTTGGTTTTGCTTTTGAAGCTTGTTGAATGTTGAAGTTGTGAGTTATTTTCGTACTTCTTCCCTTGAATATTAATTCTTCCCTTAATCTATCTCTCTATTAATGTTGGGGAGTGTTGTTAAGATGACAATTAGTTAACATCTCGATATTAATTACTACTAGAAACAATCAACGAACCGATGGTTAACATCTGGATATCGATGGTTTCATAAGTAAGTAACTTCGGGTTATTAATGCACGGTCGTGGTTAATAATCTTAAGAAGGATTAATAATGTTGGTTAAACCGAAGCTGTTGTGTTGATGTTATCAATCTCAATTGATTTCATCAATGAGTTAAGAGATTAAATGCTATTATCAAGTCGGTATATGTCGGAGTTTTATACTTGGCTAATAGTAAGGGTTATTAATGAACGGTCGTTGTTAATAACTATCCTCGATGAATTGGAGATATTCCTTGATTGAGTATTCGAGAGGGATAAGTTATAGATTTAACAAGGATCAACAAACATATCAACAAGTGGAAAGTAGCAAAGTCAAGTCTTTTATCTCATTAATTAATTAAAATCACATAAGTCGTTCATCTTAGTGTTTAATTAAATTAAATTGCTCAATCCCACCCACCCACCCACCCCTCTCCCTTTTTATTTACTAGTTTTTTAAAAAGAGAATTATTTCTTTCCTTTTGGATACGAACTCTAATTCACTATACTACGTATTAGTACTAGTAATGAATTTATTTTGCCGCACATACGACAAATTGCTTGTCAATAACCGGTCTGCAGAATTTACAACCCTGAAATGATGCATTGATTCCCATGAATGCATACAAAAAAGTATTGTTTTCATTAACTTTGACTTCAAGAAAATATCCAAGATTTATTTGTTTCACAATAATCATGAATTGTTGCAGAAACCTGTAGGACTCTTCTAGTTTTCCTCTTAGCTTAACCATTGCCTTTTCTTTTGGTCTCCACGCTTTTAAGTAGCTTATCTCAATGTCATACTGCTCTAACATATCTCTCTTTACATCCATTGCATTATATGACGTTTTTGGATCCGTTAATTTAGACTTAATACAGTCTGCTACAAAACTAGATGTTGCATGTCTTTGATCTATTAATCTGACTTCCAATCTACAAGAATGTGTTTTTATAAACTTCATAACAATGAACCTTCTCAAGGTTCCAGTTTGTTTTGATCTTATCTCCCAACAGCACCTTTTATGCAAGCATTTCGCTGCAAAATACTTCTTATTTATCTTATGTACCTTGTTTTCCGGAAGTGGTTTTTGATAGCATACATCTTAAGTGCTTTTTTGAACTCATTCATGTTGATGTAAATCAGTCCTTCTTCAGGATCTACATCACCGTTAATGCAATTTGTTGATGCTAACTCCATACATTTTTGTTGCAATAGTGCTTCAGTGGTTGCAGGCTACTTGTTGTTTCTTCTTGTTGATATCCCCCAAGAAACATGTTGCAAGTTGTTTCTTCATGTACATTAGCAAGGGTGATACATAGAGGGAATTTGGTCACATCTATCTCTTGTTTCTTAAGGTGTAAATAAAACAACAGAGCTGAGTTATCTTGTATCATCAATGGTAAATAATTCTCTCTGACTTTGTATTGAATTATCAATGTAGTTGATGGTCTTTCTTTTCCAATTCGGTCTCCTATCTTTGCAATCGGCTCAGGATAAGACCTGTTTATAGCTAAAATAATTCGAAACACATTGAAGTTCACATACTCCATTGCTTCATTCCAATGACCATCGTCATGAACAAAAATAGGAATTGTTTTCATGTTTCCTGTTAATGATAATACACATTGTTGAAGAAAAAAATAATACACATTGTTCATTCTTAATGAACTACAAATAAGTGTACAGAGCATTGCGATGTCCAGAAACAAAAACAATATTTATTCATTCATCAGTTTATTTTTCAAAAAACAAAACAAATCATTCATTAGCAATTATTCAAAAACAGAAACAAAACTTACATTCATAATTTCACACATATTGAAATCACTAAACGAAGTCTAGCTTCATGCTCAAAAACGCGCTCAAATTGGTTCTCATATAGCTAATAATCACACCTTGGTTTCTCAGTAGAGTTGGAGATAGCTAATCGTACTTTGTAATTACCTGATAATTTTGACGCAACCTCAGAAAACACGATCGAATTTGTGCTCAGAAAACGCGATCACGCTAAGAAGAGATGAGATCGTTGGATTTGTTCGCAGCTCAGAACTCACAGTTTCGCAGTTCCGCACGTTGGAGACAACGGGTAGCTATGGGTTTCTAATTTGAAAACAACATATTACATGGCTTATTTTTTAAATATGAATCTAAGATAGTGAAAAATGATATTATTTCACTTATTATGGTTGGTCGCGAAAATTTCCCATTGTTTAATTACATGGGCTTCATATTTGTGGATACCTTACACAAGATAACATGTCCACATATGAAGAAAAAATTAGATGAGCTTTTGTATATATATAAACGACTAAAAAAATTAAATGGCTTAGCAATTAAGATCCCATTTGGTGATCTTATTTTTTGACTTATCAGTCTTATCAGACATTTTTTTTATCAAGATGTGGGTTTTTATTTTGTGAAATAATTATGTACTGATTAAAATAAGTAAGGTTGAAGTTATGTTTCTGGCTGAAGTGATAGAGATTACTGCAGTGAACTATTTTAACTAATTTTTCATATAAGTTTTTCATAAATTAATAGAATCGGTCAATCTAGCCGCTACAACCGATTCAACTGATTCCTATGTTACCAAATATAATCTAGGTTTGATTTCTCTATTTTCACATTGTAATATTACTTTGCCTATTACTTTTTATCTCCAAATATATGAGGCTAGAATTTCAAGTGTGGTGTACAAGATTAAATTTACAAGAATTTCATAAATACAACAATACTAAAACATGAGACTCAAATAAAAGCATATACTAGTATGAAATATGCTTATTTAAGATAATGGTTTAAGTATTTTAAATAAAAATTATCAAAGTGGAGGTCGGTTATTTGTGTGGAGGAGTGATCTCGTATGATTATTTTCCCTCATCTTTTCTTCTTCTTCCTGTTTTTTATTCTTTTATCCTTATATATATAAACATTATTTTTATCCTTTTTATTTTACCATTTTTAGGTATATTCATCTCTTTTTATATTATCTTTTTATAATTGTTTATCTTTTTATCTCTATTTTCTTTCTTTTCCTTTTGTTGGTGACATCATATATCGATTCATGTTAGCCGCTCCAATATCTTTTGGAACTAAAGTTTGGATGTTGTTGTATACTCCCTCTGGTTTCCAAACAGAGCCATAATAAAAAATTCACACTATCACATGGCAAGCCAAGCTACAAAATGAATACGGAGTAACTTATCATTGTCATCGCCCCATTGCAGATGCTCTGACAACTCAAAAAATGAAATGATTTTCCAAATTAACTACACTTTTATGTCAGAAAATTTTGTAAACTTCCACTTTTTATATTTATTTTAAAAAAAGATCACTTTTCTTTTAAGTAATAAATTTATTATTCTACTTATTTTTCTCTATTTTGGAAAAAAGTCAACGACTCAATTTTACATTCATACTACGTACTCCCTCCGTATCTATTTATTTGACCCACTTTCCCTTTTGGGACGTATCAAAATACATGTCTCATTTCCCTTTTTGGAAATAAACTCACCCCAAAAGCAGCTACAGTACCGCTACAGTACCAAAAACCTCCTACTTTACATATATTTGCCTTAAACTACGTGAAAAAGCATACGGGTCAATTAATTTGATACGGGAGTATTTCACATATACCACGCTAGTCAAGATCTTCAATGCAATGGGTGAAGCATTATTATGAAATACGAATCATTACTTTACAGAACTAACAAATGAGAGGAAGTTGAAAATAAACTTTCACAACTACTACGTATTACTTAATGATCCAAAATACAGTAATAATCATAATAATGTAAGTTCAAATACAAATGGAAAACATCAAAATCCATTCCAAATCAGACAAGCAACCCTCTAGTGTTTGTTTTTGGTGTAAAGGAAAATCACATGAAACGAAGCTTAATCGTTCATATCCTTGAATAGCTCTTCCATCGATTCCATCATCCATGGAGGAAATTTATCAATTGTGAATTTACCTAACAATGATAAAAGTACATCCGGATAACAGCTGCTATAATCTTTTCTCACGATATTACGAGGCCGAAACTCGATGCCTTGAACCATAATAAACTCATAAGACCAATCAACACCAACAGACACTCGTAGCTCATCGTCGTCGCCATTTGCTCCGTTGTTGAAGAAGGATTTAATTTCTATCTCTTCCCACCCGTCTTTTTGGACCCTCTTGTTATCTCCAAGTATAGGGACATCCTTCAGGGCTTCAATGGTTGAATCACTATATTCATTACTCTCCGCCTCATAATAATTTATAACTTGGTACATCAAATAACACGAGTAATGTGTTTCCTTGGATAACAACATTTGATTTGGTATTTTGAAACAAATGTCAAACACCCCATAATACACTCTGAGTTCTGCTACCTCCTTGAACCTATGTACACAATAATATACAAGCGTATAAAGTGAGAGACCGAATAAATAATAAATAAAAATGTGTCGGAAATTTGAAACTCTAATTAAACCAAGTAAAATTTCTAAAACTCTGTCTAAAACTAATAAAATTGGTTAAATGTAAAGAATTATGCAAAAAAGCAATTCATAGACAAATTGGTAGAGATTACGTGCTTCATTGATACATACTCAAAATAGAAACAAAACACAGACAAATTTATAAAATAGGATTAATTGTGTTTTATTCCCAAAATATAATTCGTTTAGTCATATTTTGGGAAGAAAGTTAAAAGTATGGTGTGATAATGTAAAAATAAGCTAATTCGACTCATTCTGCTGAGACTGAGAGATTGAGAGACAGAATTGACGGATTATGCTGATTTATGTAAAAAAAATATATTTAAAGTATATTTTGCTAATAAAATAAAAAAAATGAAAATATGGGTAAGAGGATCCTTTACCGTAATTCCACCTATATACGGATCGGAGTGGTTAGAAAAGTAATTTCAAGTTTACTTTTTATTATTACATTATTACACAATTCAGAGTACAAAATCAAAAGTTACGTACATGAATATATGATGTTTGGTGGAAAAAATTGAGCTGAAAATCATAGTCACCAAACGAGTTCTAAATTTGCGAGAATATTTGCGTGCACAGTAAAAAAAATTGCCTGCACAGTAACAAACCTGGCTTTTGGTTCAGGTCTGCTAGTTAGGTCATGGACATTATTATTGGTCCCAAAGAAAGCAAGCTCTGCGGGTGCAATCATAACGCATTTCTGGCCAGAACACTTGTCCAGGTAAAACATCTGTTTTCATCAAGTTTTAATATGAGCTCATCATACCGTAAGTAAATTATAAAATTAACTGAAATTAAGAAAAAATACATCAGCTAATTGCACCTTTTTGCCTGCATCAAGGACAATCGGGTTATCGAAGAGGCTGAGAAATAGATGCTTCTTGGACGGCGGCGGTAACTGAAAGGGCAGTGGAGTGGATGATTTGGAAATGATGTCGTCAATATCTGACGGCACAAATTTGTTCCAAGCAATATCGGAGTCGGATGCTGATTTAAAGCGCTTAGAGATGATACTCCCTCCGTCCCAGAAAATTCTTCCTAGTTTGACTTGGATCGGAGTTTAAGAAAGTGGGAATAAAGTGGAAATGTGTGGTTGTAGTTGTGTAAGAAAAAAGTGAAATGAATGTGAGCCACACAAATAATAAAAAAGGTGAAGTTGGAAGAATTTTCTGGGACGTCCCAAAAAGGAAAGTTGGAAGAATTTTCTGGGACGGAGGGAGTAGAACAAGTCGTTACATCCACTGGAGAAGTTAAGGAAAGAATTTCAGAGATGCAATCCACGGGCAATTTTGCAAAGTTGTCCATTGTTTCACTTTGTTTTATGAAAGCAGCGTATATGGCATACTTTTTGGTTTCTGACTTACGATGTGTTTATATGGAAGCAAAACAACGACTCTTAGAATACGTACTATTATCATGTACTAATTGTGAAATCGGTAAAATACTCATAACACATGGAATTCATTCAATTATTCTACGACAAAATCATCTTTCGTTAGTTTATAGTACTAGTGCGTAGTAGTCCATCCGTCCCATTTATATTGTTTCATTCTTATTTACTTTTTCAATACAAATCACTTTTAATTTCTTACTTTATATATCAAAAATTTATCAAATTCGATTCAGGTTTTTGCGACTTTTTAAAGTGTTAAATGTAATTTCTGAATATGTAATTTTTTTCCAAAAAATAATTTGAGTGCGGACAGGGATCTGTTTGCTTTATCGTCGGTCAAACATCGTAAACCATAACGAGACAATAAAAATGGGACAGAGGTAATAGTTTATACTTGGTATACGGTAACAAATTTTGTTACTGAAATTCTTTTTTTTTTGCAAGAAATAAAATCAACTTTCGTTAATCACATCATAGTCCAAAGCAGAAACAATATAATGAGGTTAAATTCTTATTATATTCAAATTGAATGTTTCGCTATTAAATTATTTGAGTGTACTTTGAATGTAACTAAATTTAAATATGATTACCAACTTAGATGTTTTTAGAGACGTTTAAATTTATATTTAAATTAGAGACACAAATTGCATTTCATTTTCAAAATCTAACATCCACTTCTGTTTTGACTTTTGAGAAGTTTTTATTGCTTTGCTCTTTCTAATAAAACTAGATAAGTTACAGACTAATACTTCTACAACTTACGGTATACATTTTCTATGACTCATTAAACTGTCTGCGTTTCTTTGTTACGAAACAGCCGTCAGTCTATGCAATTTTGGACGCGATTTTCACTATGGGTCATCTGGAAACAGTCTCTTTGTGCTTTAGTGCATGAGTAAGACTGTGTACATCCGACCCTCCTTACACCAATGTAGGTGGGAGCCTTTGCGGCATTGGGGTAAATGAAAATGAAATGTTACATTGTAGTAGATTCGAGTGTTCGAGTATATGTTCTGGTAATTTGTAACTCTCTTATCTTTTCATAAACCGCTAAGGTGCTCCGTGTTCCCCATCTTTACTCTATAAAGTTTCCCATCTTTACTCTATTAAGTAATAACAAGATGTTTTCTGCTCCAAAATATGAATTATAAATATCCTACTCCTAAACTTTGAACAATTCAATTCTCTTAAAATTAAGATTTGAAATGAAGCTTTTTGCTTAAGATCGGGAGAATTTCTGTTCCCAAGAAATGAATTTCTTAATTGTATATTCAATTCCCATCGAATTACTACTACAGTCTCCAAAGTTGATTTTAAGTATTCGGTCATCGAATTACTACTACAGTCTCAAAAGTTGCTTTTAATTAGCCTCAAATTCCAATGAACAATTTCCAAAAGTAATTAGAATCAGATATATAAGCAGTCAAGCAGACATTAATTAAAGAATCTTAACCGTTGATCCTAGTAGCAAACAAAGGGAGAAGGAGCAATTAGACCACACTAAGGTAAAATTGTAAGAGTAAATAAGATACTAAGCTAATTTTAGGAGCAAAAAACATCTTTTTAATGAATTTATTACTCCATATATATCATCTTCCCATGCCATTAATTTCATATTTATCACACTTGGGGTCTTACCTAAAAATTTAAGACTAAACAAATCAAAACTCTTCGTATGTCAATGAGTTAAAGTATCTTGTACTACTTCCGTTCTCTTTTAATTATAATATTGAACTTTTTACACTATTTACATATTTTACTTTGACTATATTTTATTTAATGATGTATTATAAATAAAAAAAAAATACAAATATTTAAAAGGGAAAATCACACATTTCGTCCTCCAATTATCCACCATATTGAAATCTCAGACCCGTGTTTTAGGATTTTTAAATGTCACCCCCAATTTGTCAGAATAATTATAAATGTCATCCCTGCCGTTATAAATATTACAGACGGCGTCCGTCTTTCCAAATTTTCAGGGTTAAACTTGTAACTTCGCATCCTTCTCGTTTAAAGCCTAAATTTGAGTTATCCCCGACCCTTTGTCACGCTTATCATTCCAAATTCAAATGCTTTTCTTAATCCTTTGCTCTGAATTTTTTTCCACCAAGTTTCCGTTAAACATGGCGTTCGAATAGTGAAGGTATATTGAAGCCAACATTCTCCTTTGAAGGTCGAAGCCGTGACACAGGAAATAAAGCTGACCAGTCGAAGGCTCGATGGGTTAGACGACGACACAGAATAACGACAAGGGGAAGAATGAAATATATGTACGCACCTGAAGACGAAGACCGGACGAAGGAAGCTAGAGAGCTCTTCAAAACTCCAAACAGCTGAAGAATGTATGAATGAGGAGAGCTTTTGATTCAGGGCGAAGGGAGAACGCTGGAGAGTTTCAAGCAACGGACGAAGTTTTTGTTATTCGATTCAGGGCTTTAAACGTAAAACGATAGGAAATGACGTGTGTAGCCCTGAAAAATTGGAAAGACATACGCCGTCTGTAATATTTCTAACGGTAGGGGTGACATTTAAAAAACCTGAAACAAGAATCTGAGATTTCAATATGGTGGATAATTGGGGGACGAAATGTGTGATTTTCTCTATTTAAAAATTCAACTCATTTAGAATATGAAAACTTGATTTTTTAAAATTTTTCACTAATAAGGAATGAAAGTTATTAATGGTCAAACTTGTGTGTTGGCAAGCGTGAAAAGTGGACCGCTGCAATTAAAAAAGAACGGAGGAAGTATAATGTAAACACCGAACTAGGGAAAATCGCATATATGGTCCCTCAGTTATCTACGAATTTAAAATCTCAGACCTGTATTTCTGATATTGTAAATGTCACCCCTCAATTGTCCAAATTGTTGTAAATGTGGCCCTTTAAATAGTGAAATGTACTCTCGTCCACGTTGTATATTTCACCCCTCAAAAGGACCACATTTACAACATTTTGGACAATTGAGGGATGACATTTACAATCTCATAAATATCGGTCTGAGATTTTAATTTCGTGGATAACTAAGGGACCATATATGCGATTTTCCCCACCGAACTATGTAATAATGTAAACACCGAACTATTATTATTACTTCGTATTATTTTACTTGTTTACATTGTTATATTTATTATTATTGTTGTTGTTGTTGTTTATAGCTATATTATAATTATAATTATAGTTATAAATACGATTAAATGTTAATTATAATTCTAATCTCAATAACTTTAATTATAATAATTATAATTATAATGATTATAACAAGATGTTTTTTGCTCCTAAAATTAATCAAATTTATCTCAATTAATCATAATTAACTATAGTTCTAATCTAAAAAATAATAATGGGAAGATGATATATACGGAGTAATAAATTCATCCAAAGGGTGTTTTTTGCTCGAAGGTAATGGGCTCTACCCGTGCCTTTTTGATGGAGGGAGTTGATATAGAGCCCACATAGAGGGACCTCTCGAACTTCTTTCGAGCTGCGGGGGTATCCCCAGACTCCGCTCCCCCGAAGATCACCTTGATCTCGAGTTTCTTCTTCCCGCCGTTCGGCCCGAGGGACCCCTCCGGACGTTTATCGACACTGCGATAGTCAATGTCCATGGGCTAAGCCTCACACTAGTCATCGCGGCGCCAGGTGCCCAGCCTTCGAGGTGGCTGTCTCTGGCCGCCCTGCGTCAGCATTTTTGTGAACTCGCCAAGGTATCCCTGGCGGATTAGTTCGTCTATAGCCAGTCTGAGCTGGTGACAACTGTCTGTATGGCACCCCATATAAATACTCCCCTACTTTTTTACCTCACTTGTTTTCCTTTCAAATTCAAAAGTTTACCCTATTTTCTTTTGCATTCCATCCACCCCAATTTCCGCTCCATACTCCCGCACCCACTCCACGATTCGGACCGCCATCTTCGCGGGACAACCGAACCCATCCAACGACGCCGGACAACCGAAGCCATCCAGCGACGCCGGACAACCGAAGCCATCCAGCGACGCCGTTCCTCGGCTCTGCTTTGCTCTGGAGAAACGAAGGCCGTTCCTCGAGGCGCTGCTCTAAAAATCATCGCTGGTCCAAGTTCGTAGACGGACAACTGAACACATCCAACTGAAGTCAGTTCGTCGAGGCGCTGGTCCAAGTTCGTAGGTCAATGCAAAAGTTGTATCATGCGGAGCACGTCATCGTGCTATAGTTACAGGTATGTCTCAAGTGATTTCTATAGCACAAACCTACAATATTGGTGGAATAGTAAGTCGTATGGGGATTATTATCCCTTTTTGGTAAAGGTGAAAATTTTGTTGAAATGGCTGAGTGAGTTGTATTATTTATAAATTGTGACTAAAATGACAAAACATACCCGATCGGGATTCCTTCCATTAGGAAATTGCCCAGAAAGTCACTTTTCTGGGCATACCCGATCGGGTATGTCGGCATACCCGATCGGGTATGTGACAAATCTTCACGAAAATTTGCTCCCACGATCATTTGTTCCCGAATTTGATTTGGACAATCGAATCAAGTGAATACCCGATCGGGTATAGGCAATACCCGACCGGGTACATGAGTATTTTTTCCAAAT